CCTAGGTGCTGACAGTCCCACGCTGTGTGTGTTTTCACGTGGCTCCATTAAGGGCCTTGAACAGGACAGCATCATCCCTCCATTTTCTAGGCCAAGAGGGTCACAGGCTGAACCTGAAACTAATAAAAAAAAAATGTATGTCCATTGTAATTGAAAAATTTTAAAATGATTTAAATTTTTTTAAATGTCACAGGCTGGGGCCTTCCCTAAACTCTACATTTGCATATCTACACACTGACCTTTTCTGTGATCCTCATGCCCATGAGTGACTTGTGATCTACTAGAAACCCAAATTCATCTTCTCTCATTTTCTTCAAATCCGATTCCGTGTCTGGGCTACATCCATCTAGAAGCTTTGCAACTCATGCTCCCAAAATATCGTGGGCTACTTCCTCCTACAAAAGTTAATCTAATCGATCCCCTATCAGGCCATCTGTTTTGAAATGGCATTTACTATGATTTTGTTAGTACACTCAAGAAATGAAGCTCCAAAGCCATTAACTCTACCATTCAATTCCTGGATCCAGATTCAAAGAAACCAACTTAAAACAATGCGGCAAATACAATCAAAGGTATAAAGGAATGATAAAAGTTAAAAGGTTCCAAGTACAAATACGATTATGATAACTGATACACATTGTAGATCATCAAGAAATGGTGAAGTTTTTAGAAAAATAATGTTACAGAAGAGGATATTCATACACTCTCAAAGAGCAACTCACCAAATGACTAATTGTAGAAAGAAAAAGCTATGTCTTACAATAAACAGACCTGGTAGGCCCCTCCATTGAGCTAGACAAATAACCTGTCCTCTGCAAATAAGACAGCATCACCAGGAAGCAAGACGGTGGTCAAGACATTCAATGGATATAAGAAATCATCTGGAAGAATTCAGTGTAGAATTATGACTCCACTAGTAGTACAGAACCTGGCTACAAAGTATAGAAATGTCCTGTTTTCTGTAATCAAGGCGGTTACAATACAAAGCTGAAGAGAGGAGGTACTTTTCTACTCATCCCTCAGGTTTTATGTCACATAACTTTCTCCAGGTAAATGCTCTTCCTTTGCATTCCCTTAAAACTATCCCCACACCTCATGAGATGGACCACAAAGATGATCATTGGTGCACACATCCCACACTGTCTTCAAATTTAAATTTGGGCTGCTCTCCTCCTCACTTGTCCCCCTGCCCGGCCTTCCTCTTCTTTTTCTTCCTTGTGGGGTACATCCTCGAAGGGTATCTCTCTGGCACCGCCCCACTCCACAATTGACTGCTGGTGGGAGGCCGTTCCTTTACCCTTATTGGTTGTTGCAGGGGAGGCACATTCAAGGATCTAGGGTCATTATTAGGGTTGTCAAGGGTCTGGGTGAAGGGTCAAGTGTTAAGGGGTATGGTCAGAGGTCAGGGGCCATAGGTCAAAGGTAACGGGTGAAAGGTCAAGTGTCACAGGTCCAAGGTCACAGGCCATAGGTCAAATGGTCACAGAACAAGGGTCAAAAGTCAAAGGTCAGGACACAGTCAGGGGTCAAGGGTGATAGGTCAGGGTTAAAGGTCACGGGTCTAAGGTCATGGAAAAGGGATCAAGGGTCAAAGATCCATGACCCTGAGGCACCTTGGGTGGGTGAAAATGGGGACCACACATCAGCTGCAGAGACCGTCCTGATTCCCAATCCAGCTCTGCTCCACCCCAGCCGAGGGAAGCGCCCGCCGAGGCCTGGTTCTGAGCTGTGGATGGGAATTGCTGGGCTGGCTCCCAGTGGGCACGGGCTGGGTAGCAGGGTGACTTACTTCCTGCAGTAACAGGAACTGGCCAGCAGAGGGCGACAGCCTCTGCCGCCTCCCAAGGCAGGCAGCTGGGCGGAAACCACACCTGGTTCCCCTTCCGAAGGGCCAAGGGGGAGGCTGAAGGATGGCTTTGGGGCCAGGTGGGCACCCAGCTGCCCTGGGAGGCCTGTTCTGCCCACCACCCTGCAGACGGGTCCCCTCTGGTGGCCGCACTGCACAGGCTGAGCCCTCCAGGAGCTGGACTCAGCTCAGACTGGGTGCTCTTGGCATTTCCTCCTGGGAGAGGGGAAGCCGGGTGTGGGGGCGCAGGTGTCTGCACCCCTCTGCCTAAGGGGGTCCACCCCCGGCGCCTCCCAGACTGGTTTGAGGACCTGGGGCTGCAGGCAGGACCTGGGGAACTGGTGACCGGTTGGGGCCCGGGCTCAGCGGGTCCCTGGGGCTGAGGGTGCCTGTGCTGAATGGGGGCCCAGGGGATGAGCGATGATGCCACGGAGGTGGGGGGGCATCGGGGACTTGGACCAGGAGGCCCCAGGCAGAGCCACATCTCAGAGCGAATGCAGGAAGTCTGCTGGCTTGCAGACCCCGAATCATTTCGAGGTAAAACAAAATCCGCCAGGAGAGGCAGGCGGCCTAAGCCAGACGGGAAAATCATGGTACTTTGTAATCTAAGCCACAGTCGGCGAGGGGAGGCGGGATGTTCCCCACGCAGGGCCCTCGCCCCAAAGCAGCGGGACTCCGCCAAGGTTACCAGCTGGGAGGGACCTTGGGACAAAGAGAGCAGCCGCCCCGGAGGCTCTGGTGCCGAGACCCGACCCCTGTCTGAAGCCCATCAGAGCAAATGGCCGCAGGGTGAAGGGCCGCTTACCCAGAGGTCACACGTCAAGCTTACCCAGAGGTCACAGGTCAAGGAGACAGAGGCTCTGGGCGGCGGAGGGTTCATTTCCAGCTCCGTCCTTTTACTGCTGTGCACCCTCCAAGGAAGAAGTCACTCGCCCTCTCTGTGCCGCAGTAGCTTCACCTGTATGATGGGCACGTGAACAGTGGGGCGTGGCCACGTGATTGGCCAGAAGTGGGCACGTGAACAGGGGGCGTGGCCACGTGGACAGCCGGAAGTGCAGCCTCAGGAAATAGACCTCTCCTTTTGGGGCTTTTATTTTATTTATTTTTATTTTTTATTTTTATTGATTTCAAAGAGGAAGGAAGAGGCAGAGAGAGAGATAGAAACATTAATGATGAGAGAGAACCATTGATTGGCTGCCTCCTGCAAGCCCCCCACTGGGGATCGAGCCTGCAACCCAGGCATGTGCCCTTGACTGGAATCAAACCTGGGACCCTTTAGTCCGCAGGCCGATGCTCTATCCATTGAGCCAAACTGGCTAGGGCTCCTTTTGGGGCTTTTCCGGGTTCTGGGAACACCTGAGCCCCGCCCTCAACACAGCCCAGCTCACAGGTGGCTTCCCCAGCTGCCTCCCGGTTGCCATGGTGTCAAAGGAGGAGGAGGAGGGGCAGATTTCTGAGAAGCAATCGCAAAACACACACCAGTGGGCCCCTCCTTGCTCACTCCCTCTCTCCAATGTCAAAGCATCCATTTGTGCAGCTGAGCCCAGGCCTCCTCCTACCCAGGAGCAAAGGAGGTCAAGGAGGCAGAGGGTCCAGAGAGTAGGTTTTGGGACCCCAACCTCACCCAGCAGATTTCCTGGACCCGGGCTCCATCGCCCTCCTACAGTTCCCAGACCAGGCAGCTCTTTCCTGCCTCCCTGCCTTCACGCATGCAGTTCCCTCCACCTGGAATGCCCTTCCTCAGCCTTCAGGTCCCAGCCGGCTTTAACTCCCCTGGAGAATCTTCCCTGAGTTTCTTGGGGCTCCCCCTGCATCCTGCACCCACCGCGGTCACAGCCATTTTGTTGATGATGCTCTCACGGGGCGGTGAGGTCTTGGGGATGCTAGCTTTGCCTTTGTACCCCAGTGCCTGGCACAGACAGGTGCTCAGTAAAGCCAGGAGGGAGGGAGGGAGGGAGCAAAAAAACACCTCTTAGTAGGACTGGAGAGGATCTGGACCTTGAGCACCTGGCACAGGCCTGGGCACGAAGCAAAGCCCACTCCCTTCCTGCCGCCTCCACTTGAGCCTGGGCTCCAGCACCTTCTGCCTCATCCCATTTGGAGCCGGCTCAGGGGTCCTCTCTACACCCACAGGCCTGTGTCTGTTGCCCATTTGGATGCAAGGTAGTGACACCAGGGTGCAGATGTGCACTTGACTTCACAAGGAGCTAGTGTGTTTGGGAGAAAGGCCTCCATTCTTGGAAATCTGGGAATGTGCAAACTTGCAAGGGCCTGAGGGATGACCCTTAGCAGGGCACTTCAAAGTGTTTTCACATTGAGTACTTTCTGCATACAACTCCTTAAGCCTTGCCTTACCCATTATGTAAAACAGATGCTGCTTGGGGCAAAGTGGTGGGTGTTGAAGGGCCTGGGAGATGGGACCAGAGTCCCCTTTCCCCTGTAGCTCTGGGTTCTGGGGAGATGGGGGTTGGGGTTGGTCCTGGCGGTGGGATGGGGCAGCCAGGAGAGAGGGAGAGCCCTGGGGAGAGTTCAGTGACTGACAATTACTAACTGGTACAGAAGGGCTTCCGTATTTTCAGAACTGTGTGTTCATGCCCGCGTGGCTGGGCCAACGAACTCATCTTTCACAGCAAGAAGTCAGTCTGTACACACAAAAAAGAAAATATGTCCTTGGAAAAAATCATAATGACTTCAACCTTTAATGTTCTCACAGTTTCTTTTTCTTTTCTTTTTTTAATCTTGAAGGAATATGTTAGAGGAAGTGTCTCTTATCTATAGGAAATATTTATATGAATTCAGCAATTCCATCAACTTCTCTTTCTTTTGTGAAATTCAAGTGAAATTAAATTGCATCTTAAAAAAATGAAGAAAAAAGAAAACAGAGTTCTCTGGCTCTTCCCATTTTATGAAAAAATATAAAGACTTTGGAAAGCTCAACTGGTTGTAAGCGTTTCCCGTGGACCAGATGCGGCCCACAGGAGAGGCAGAGCTGGCCCTCTGGGCTATGTCAAGTCCCATCCTAGAGGGCCACCTGGCGGTGAGTAATCAGCAGTGAGAGCTGGGAGATCTGCCAAATGCCTAGGAGCTGCAGGAGCTCTGGGCAGCCAGCCAAGGAGATGTTTGCTGATATTGAGGAACTGTGATCAAAACCTCAGCCAGGGGACGGGGGGCCCCTGAAGAACACCTTCAAGTTTCCCTTCTTCTGGATATCAGGAGATCAGAACGGCATCAGTTAGGTAAGAACCTTCCTGCCCCTTCTATCTCCTCTCTCTGCAGCTCCCATCCTGGAACTGGAGGCACCTGGGTGAGTGAAGAGAAACACCGGGTAGAGAGGATGCTCTTTCTGTCCCCGGTGGGAAAGAGAAGGAAATCCAGTGTTCATGGAAACAGGCCTTCCGATTACTGGAATAAGATGGTTTGTATAAACAGAAGGAACCAGAGAACTTGTTATTGTCCAAGCTTTACCCTAGAAGTCGATGGCATCTGCCACAGACCTCATCCCAGGGGGAAGGGAAGAGCCGACTCCACAGAGACAGTGTTAAGAGGCATCCAGGGAAGGAATAGAGTTGTGTTCTCACTTCATCCTGTGAGTCTTGACTACTCAACAAGAATGACGGCCAAGATGAACTTCCTGCAGCCGAGTTCCAGGCTCCGTGTATTTGAGCCCCACTTGGCTTTCCCACACTCATCTCCTATTTCACCCCAGATACACCCCTAATCCAACCACAAAGACCCACTGGCCAAGCCTTTGGAAGGCATGGGAGGAATTTTCTCAGAGGCAAACCTTTCTACTCTAAGGGTCTGGAGTTAACCCAGTAGGTCTGGACTGGTCGGGAGCATCAAACTCAGCTTCTTTAGGTAGTGTTTATTTACCATGTATATCAAGGGATGTCCACTCCCTGATTGGGAAAAAAAATCACAGAGCCCAATAAACAGTGCATTATAGCCAGAGACATTGAGAAAAAGAGCTAAGCCCAGCCTGGACAGTGTGGCTTCATTGATTGAGCATCGACTCATCAACCAAGAGGTCACCAGTTCAATTCCCAGTCTGGGCACATGCCAGGTTGCGAGCTCCGTCTCCAGTAGGGGGTGTGCAGCAACTAATCGATGATTCTCATCATTGATGTTTTTAATCTCTCTCCTCCCCTCTCTCTAAAAACATATTTTAAAAATTTGTTTTTTGAAGAGCTAATCCCAGGCCAGGTGGCTCAGTTGGTTGGAGCACCAAAGGTTGTGGGTTCAATCCTGGTCGGGGGCGTCCAGGAGGCAACTCATCAATGTTTTCTCTCAGGAGGCAACTCATCAATGTTTTCTCTCACATCAATGCCTCTCTCTCTCTCTCTCTCTCTCTCTCTCTCTCTCTCTCCCCTCTCAAAAAAAATCAATTTTATAAAACATATCCTTGGGTGAGAATTTGAGAGAGAGAGAGAGAGAGAGAATAATCCTTGGACTTGAGCCAGGCATATAGGGTAGCAAAAAGAAGCTTCAGAATCTCATATTAAAAAAAAAAATAGGAAAGGGAAGTCAAAATGGCTGTGGTCAAGCCAGGGAGGCTGTCCTAGAAAGGGGGAGAAGGGGCAAGTACAAAGGAGTTAAAATTGGGGAGGCTGGGGGAGCAAAAAGACACCACATATAAACAGAGCTTTTCTGTTGCCAGCAACAATGAGCCTCCCTGTCCTTAGAGTTCAGTGGTCTCCACCATACCCTGATTTCACCGGCACAAATTTTGAAGAACCCAGGGAGAGGACAGGACAACAAAGCGAGTGATTAATCACAGTCCGTCCTCCTGTTCAAGGGCTTGAGGTGAGCTGGAGGCTCAGTAGTCACACAACAATCACTACTTGATGATGCAGTGCTGAGGTCACAAGTGGGACTCCCCTCCCCCCTCCCCCGGCTTCCTCATTGCTGAGCAGGGGAACCAGAGGGAAAAGCCACCTTCCCAAGCACAGCCATACCATCTACCTCACTCGACTACTTGTCAAGTTCAGTACCGACACAAAGGGGTGAGTTGCATGTACAACTGGAAATGCCCCCCTTGTTTTTATCTCCTTTCCTGGGAGTGACCTACAGCATCCCAGGCAGTAAACAGGTTGAGATAGTGGCCATACCCAGGTGCAAGTTTCCTCTCACTTTCAGTAGCAAGTACAGGAAGACACATCATTTGAGAGAGAGATTCTTAACAATATTTGGAGTTCAATTTCATGATCTTTATCTCCAGAGAGCAATACTGATTTGAAGGCTAAATTAGATAAAGTGGTACTTTTATATTGTTAAATCAAAGGGTGCCAATTAAATCCAACTTGAAAGTCTTTTCAGAAACTAAAACCCCTGTTGTATCTAGAAGTCAACACGTCCGTGGAGGAGGACCCAGCTCAAGGCAAAACTTAACAAAGGGAAAAGGAATCCCTCCTCACCATTGTGTTTTGTGGTCCTAACATTTATGTTTTCAGAGAAATTAGAATTCTCCAGTTCATCACATCCTCTCTTAATTTCCTCTCTTACCCGAATCACTGTAGGAGGGGTTCCTAGAGTGGTCCAGCCATGGTAGGGATGCAGCCATCTTCCCGTGCCAGCACTTGAGTGAAAAAAAAATCAATTCTCAAGGTTTGGAGGACTTAAGCTGGACCCAGGATTGAAAGAAGTGTCCGGGGTCCAGAAGCCCACTAACTAATATACACACTCATCCCGCCTCCAGAGGGATGGGGAGTGGACTTACAGGAGCCTGTTAGCAGTCTGATCAAACTTACAGACTCTTTGGGATGTTTTTAAATTAATTGATCTTAAATTAATGTTTTAAAATGCATGACATTACAGGAGATACTGAGTATATTGATAAATACATGGTTAAACACAGTTCTTATGATTTGGGGGTGGGGGGGGTTCCCAGGACCCTATGTTAAGAACTCCTACTAGGGGCTGTGAAATGGGGACAAAAGTGAAATGAAAGCAAAGAATGGAGAGATCGAGAAATGTGGCCAACAATCCACCAAAACAACAAGAGGACAGCCCTTAAGTGAGAGTTTGGTCTAGAGCAGTGATGGCGAACCTATGACACGCGTGTCAGAGGTGACACGCGAACTCATTTTTTTTGGTTGATTTTTCTTTGTTAAATGGCATTTAAATATATAAAATAAATATCAAAAATAGAAGTCTTTGTTTTACTATGGTTGCAAATATCAAAAAATTTCTATATGTGACACGGCACCAGAGTTAAGTTAGGGTTTTTCAAAATGCTGACAGGCCAAGCTCAAAAGGTTCGCCACCACTGGCCTAGAGCCTGAACACATCTGGGAAAGCTTTCTTAGGAACAGGATGGGCAGGAGGTATGGGAAGGCTGTACTGGTCCCCTCTCACTTTGCAGTGTGGTCCCCCACATACAGTCTGTCACATATTTCTTTGCAGGGCCCGGAAAATCAAGAAAGAATGTCGAGTGACGATAAAAATAAGCCAAGCGATCCGAAGAATGAGCCCAAGAACTGTGACCCAAAGTGTGAACCGAAGATTGAGAACAAATGCCAGCCCAGCTGTTTAAAGAAGCTGCTGCAACGGTGTGCTGAGAAGTGCCCACGGGAAAAGTGCCCACCACCGCCCAAGTGCCCCCCATGCCCCCCGCCATGTCCCAAGCCATGCCCCCCGCCGTGTCCCAAGCCATGCCCATGCCCACCGCCATGCCCTCCCAAACCGTGTTCCAAGCCCTGTCCTCCTAAATGCCCACCTTGCCCACCCCCGTGCCCACCCCCGTGCCCTCCCCCGGAGTGAGGCACCAAGGGCGTCACCCAGCCCCATACCGCCATCATCTCCACGTGCTCACCACCTTGGGGCTGAGAACTGAAACCATGAACTGACAAGTAAACGTGTCCCTCTGCTGTGCAAGACTTGCTTCTCCTGGGGTGTTGTTCTTTTGTGGGGTATTTTTGGCAGTTTTAGATGTATCTGTTGTTTTCCAGCACTAAACCCCCAAGAAGCTATCCCTGAGGAGTGAGGCCAAGACCCCGGCCCTCTACGATCAACAACCTTTGAAGACAGTGCCTCCTCTGGCCTCACCTGCTACATAGAGAAAGATGGCATCTTCTGAGGGTGCACCCAGGGTACACCTCCCTGTAAGAGAACAGCCCGAGAGCCATAAAGATGGCTGTTCAAGTGGCTAACCCCAGGGACCAAGTGGGCATGAGGGAGGAAGACAGCATGAGGGTGAAAGAGGAGAGGGATATTAGGAAAGGTCCCGGAAGGCTCAGGAAAAGAATCCTACCTGTTGCTTTGAGACCCATCGCCCGACGCTTGGACATAGCTCTCTGAAACCAGGCTGCGTGGATTTAAACCCCAGCTCTGCTAACTACTCTGTGACCATAAGCAAGTTGCTTAATTTCTCTGAGCCTTAGTTCCCTCCTCTCTGTACAAGGAATGATGATGCTAATAGTGCTGGTGATACAGGGTTGTTGTGTGGCTTAAGGAGCTAAAGGCCACGTGCCTGGCTTACTGGGATATAGCAAGTGCTTAGTTAGGGGAGCACAATGCACCTGCCCAGGTGTGACACCTCGCACCTGAACTTAATGGCACCGCTGGACTTAATTGCCCTGTGCTGCTCTTCACCTGCCTGCAAGTCTCCTGTTGCAATAGTTAGGTTCTAACTTACACCTGTGAGCATGGCTAGGTGTTCGTGTAAAAAATGAAACAGGCGTTGTAGATGACATTAATGTCAGTTGGCTGGCTTTGACCCTGAACTACAATTATGTAACAGATTGCCATTGACAAGAGTTCCAGTGAATGGTAAAGTGGGATCTCCATGTTTGCAGCCTTCTGTGCATCTATAAAATTTCAAAAGAAAAACTTAAGTACAAAAGAATAGAAAAGAATACATCTGGGAGGACCTCTATTAGAAATGAACAGGAAAAACATTCTCAGCTGATACGTTAGTGGGGATTATTTACAGGTAGCTAAAGAGAGAGCACATCAAACAGCTTAATTCACAAAAGGGAATGTGTCATTTCAAGTCCCTGGAAAGGATATTGGGATGGTGTGGGGAGGCATGGAATTAAAGACAGAACTGTAGGTGCCAGGACTTCAGGAGCTTGGACTCACTGCCACCCTTTCAGTCTCCCTCATCTCTCTCTCCATCTGTCTCCACTCCTTTTCGGGGGGGGGGCCCCTCCACCCGCCCCAGGGCCCCTCCATGTGGGAAGGTCCTTGGCCCAGTGCAGACCCAGCTCGTTGATGGATTGGGCATGAGGAGCTCTTGTTATTTCCAGGAAAAAAAGTGATTGCTAGGAGGGCCTGAGCCACCCCTCTGACCAAGTGGGAAAGAGCTGTGCCACCATCACAGTCCACCACACCTAAGTGGGAGGAGGGTTAGCATTCTCTGCTGTCACAGTAAGAGGTAACGGGAGGCCAAATGTGGCCTGGCTCCCTGTGGAGTGGTGGCACAGAAACAGCTTTCCTTCCTTCTGAGTCTAGAAGGTAGTTCAGGACAACAAAGGGTGCAGAGAGTACAGAGTCCAAACTGGGCCCAAGAAAAGGCGCCTGCAGTCCCCACCAGACCAAGGTCATTGCAGAAGCAGACTTTCAGGACAAAACAGCTGGCAAGTCCTTTAGGGTAACCCCCTCATTTTCCAGATGTGAAAACCGCTAGTTGCTTTCTCAGACAGGAGGAGGCCTTGGGGTCTTGGTCTCCTGGCACCCACACTCCAGGGTGTGCAGAGAGAGCCTCCTGGACCGGGGGAACCTCGGGAGCCTAGTTTAGGGCATTAGGGGGGCCTGTGGTCAACTGTTGATGACAGGTTGAAAATTCTTCCACCCTCATCATCTCTCAAAAAGGAGGAGGGAGAGCCCTGGCCGCTGTGGCTCAGTTGGTTGAGCGTCCTCACATGCACGGAGAGGTGGCTGGTTTGACTCCCAGTCAGGGTACATGCCCAGGTTGCAGACTATATCACAGTAGGGGGCGTGCAGGAGGCAGCCAATTGATGTTTCTCTCTCCCTCTCCTTTCCTCTCTCTCTAAAATAAATAAAAACATTTTTAAAATATAAAAGAAGGAAGAGAGAGAGGAAAGACATAGAACAATGTGATGTCCTTCATCTATTTAAAGATCACTTTTAAATAACAAAGCCCACAGTCTAGTGCTAAAGAGTATTGGTGAGAGTGCAAATAGACAAAAAATCCTTTTAGGAAAGCATTTGAGGAACATGGGAATAAGAATGAAAAGGATAAAATGATTCAACTTTTCGGCCCAATTGTTCCATGTCTTGAAATCTATGTAAAGAAATCAAGTTCTGAATGGGTGGGAGGAGGTTATATAAAGCTGATTATCACAGTGTGACAGAAAAATTTAAATCTCTAACAGGGATCTGATTAAATTTGGACTATTACTTGATAGAATATTACATGATCACTAAAATGTATAGCGTAAAGCAACTATGTTTAACCAAATACTTCTATAAATAACAATAATAATAATAGAAAAAAATTTGTCAACATTCTAGTTATTTTAGGACAATGGAATTATGGGTAACCAGTAGAATATGTTTATTTTTTCACTGGTCTCTGGATTTCCATTAATAGGTTATTTGGTAAAAGAAAAAAAATAATATAATTATGTAGACTTGAGAAACCCCCAAAGTCCTTTCATTTGCTCAAAGAACAAAAAAAGGGTGGGGTAAGGAGGAAGAATGTCTTTCCACACCTGAACACACCATGTAGAAGACGCCCTCACCTTGGGTACCTGCCTTGGAGATGTGGGAGCTCACTCACTCCCAGGCCTCCCAATGGCTCCATGGCAGTGTCAGGCAGGGGCTGGTGCCCTCCCAGGTGGCTCTGAGGACTCCTGACACAGACTGGGTGGCAGCCAGCCCTGGGAACATGAAACCATCCATTTGCCAATGTATTTTCTTTTCTCCCATGTAAATGAAACCACAGATACACATCTCTTAATGGCTACTTTCCCAGCAAAAAGCTGGATCAAAGGCAATTCTGGGGAAGATGGCTAGAACGTGATGAGTGTGCCGCCTCCCTGCAGAATGCCATAATTACGCCCAGCCCCAGCGGCAGTCCCCGTCCAGCTCCTGCCCCAAGTGGAAGAGGGTTGTATAAGTACATACGCAGGGCCTGAGGAGTGGCAGCTGGGAACCTGCAGTGCCAGGCTTGAGGGCTCACAGGTAATGTGATGGGTGGCACCAAGCCCTCTCCTTTCATGGAAAGGCTGTGCTGAGGGTCATTAGGATGGTGATGAGAGGAGACTCCACCACAGGCCCCTTGCATTGTGCTTTCTTGAGAATTGCAAAAGGACTCCTAAGTCCCCCCAAACCAGGCCATCTGGGCGACTGGCTGTGAGGTGGGCCAATGCTATGAAAGGGCTGCCCAGAACCACACAGATGTTTCAGGAAACCAGGAACTGGAGAGGTCATTTTCATGCATCCCCCACCCCCACATGCAAATGACAACTGGAGCGCTGTCGGGAAGGAACCAGTGACCAATCCTGTCTTGCTTTCCTGTCCTGCTTCCACATGGCCTACCTAGCTACACAGCTGGCTACATTGGACTGCAAGCTCTTTGATAACAAAGCCTGCCTAGCACAGCAGACATTCAATAATAATAAATGAGTGAATGCTCAGCGGCTTTGGAGGCACTTTTCCAAGAGCCTCCTCCACTTTGCTCCTTACCCTCACTACTTGGTGTCATTCCCAGAACTGGGAGGTGGTAGGAGGATGAACAGGCTGAACATGGGTGGCTGGGGGCTGACAGAAAGGCATCCCTGACCTTGGTCACTTTCCCCTTAGGCCACAAGGTGCAGATCCTTCCTGTTCTTTCTCTGGCCTCACCTGGGAAG